TCACACACACACACACATGCACACACACACTCACACACACACACACATGCACACACACACACATACACACAGCCACACACACGCAGGCACGCACGTACGCAAACACACACAAACGCACACAAACACACACACATATATACACACGCACGCGCATACTCTCGCTGACCTGAACCATAACTCTAACCCTAAACGTAGCTCTGTTCCTAATCATAACTCTAACCTAAAACAGCTCTGTACTGTTATCATATACATACACACACACACACACACACACACACGCACACACACACACACACACACACACACACACACCATAGGGTGGCGTAGCACTTGCGTCGATGTTCATCCCATTTTGATTACAGCATTGTTTCACGTTTGTGTGTGTGTACTGTGTAGGTGAGATGGAGACCAGTTCTGTGGGGATTGGTACTGCAGTTGATATTTGGAATTCTTATCCTACGAACTCACGCGGGTTTCGTCGTCTTCAAATGGTTTGGTGACGTCATCTCAATTTTCCTCTCTTTCTCCGACGCGGGCGCCTCTTTCCTATTTGGAGATCCTGAATTCCTGGATCATTTCATCGCTTTTCAGGTGAGCCGGCCTCAATAGCATAGTCATTCAACGTTCGCTTTTCTAAACAGACTTTAAGAACCCGAGCTCGTTGTAGCTAATATATACTTAAAAACGTAGAGGTCGTACTAATGCGTCGTAACGTGTACGTAAGTTTCATAAGCGATACTAACAGTCCAGAGAATAACGGCTTCATAACACGGTGATTCCAAATTTAAATAACGATGTTATTAGTAACTTATTACCATGCATGCCGATTGGGTGTTTCTGCGTCGCGTTCGTAAATATCACAATAAATCATGGAGCGTTGTCCGTTGTCGCAATTTAGATGTTCGTGACTCAGAACTCCTCTTAATTTCGTTGGAACGCTGTCAAGCATTGTTGATTTGATAACGCATGTGTGAATACTAATGTGTGACGTCGGATATAAATTACACATTTGCTTTTAATAGACATGCATGAATTAATACGTGAGTTGCTACAGTATGCGAAGACTTCTTTCTTTCAACCTTCCACTCAGGTCCTCCCAGGCATCGTGTTCTTCAGTTCGGTCATCTCTGTACTGTACTATCTGGGAGTGGTTCAGATAGTGATCACCAGCATAGCCTGGGTCATGCAGAAGACGTTGACAACAACAGCAGCAGAGTCACTTAATGTCGCCGGCAATATATTCATGGGATTGGTAGGTAATAGTTGCAGTTATATGATATTGCTATATGCTTAGTGCAAGGGCTGTGGTAAATTACTAAGGAAATGCATCGTTGCAAATTATGTCAAATATGTCCAAGTATATTTTGACTGGCCCCATGGTCCTCTAGGAACGAATACGGTTATGTAGGCACATAAATTTACGCAATTGTTAAATTCGGATACTTATTAATTTTAGACCATCGCATTAACCCCCACCCTAGTCGTAGAGAAGAAGAACATTTCTACAATTTCACTTGTGTCTCTTCACTTGCAGGCGGAGGCTCCATTGTTGATCAAACCTTACATAGGAATCTTGACGCTGTCGGAGCTTCACGCAGTGATGGTGGGCGGACATTCTACCATTGCAGGATCAGTTATGGGCGCATATATTGGCTTTGGGGTATTACACCATCGTTATGACTGCCTACATGCATCTGCAACGCGCATTAAAGGGTGTGTGTTCTATTGGCGCTCATAACCAGGCATGTTGCGCCACTTGCTGGTTATACAGGATTATGAGTATTTTTATTGTGATATCTAGTAGTTTTATGAAGGAGAGACCGCTACGACTGGTGGAAGATGGGTTGATTTTGGTGAAAGTTTGGTGCGACCTACAATTTTCAGAATGGTGCAATCCAGGGCACGCCTCCTTTAAATCGTTTACAAGAGCTCCCTTAAAACGACATTCCCCCTATATCCATCAATATTTAGCAGTCATTGGTTCCGTAACATGTTGAGGACATTTAATCTGCGTAATGATTGAGAAGTAGTGCTATGCAGTAGCGGAGCAGCGCGTATCATTCCAGGTAATACAGGCGTTTTTCACGTGGGCTATCCCTTTGTTTTAACAACCTTCTCGTTGTATTGGCTGGACGTGTTTTTTAAAGTGTAGATAAGGAAGCCCTAATGTAATGGTACGTGTTGAGCTACCGTCCTTGGTCCCGTCACATTCACCGAACGGGGCAAGTGCAAATTTTATTACTATGTCTTACCGAGTTAAAGCCATAACGCGTTTATCTTAAGGCTAGGCACTTCTTTATAATTACCCATAGGGCTAGCATAGGCCCTATATAGGGTGAGTGTAATGAGGACAGTGTAGAAAGAAGGGAAAGAAAGATAGGGTGTTGTGAATAACTAGAGATGTAAAAGAGAGACAGAAAGCGAGTTATGTAGAATTTAAGAAAAAAAAAGTATGTGGCCAATTGCCGTAGTCGGAGAAGTGTAGCGAGTGTGAGGGATATTGATTGGTATCCAAGCATGAGCAGTGAGAATATGTGAACGTATCACGCCCCCCCCCCCACTCCGAGGTCGGAGGGACCGCATGCGCGTTCCCAAAATCTCCGGTAAAGGGGTATTTTTCGCGCGACAAAATCCGGCCCAAAAATTGTTTAAAAAAAGGGGTGTATTTGACTTTTCACCCGGAGATTTCTTTAAAAAAGGGGTGTTTTTCTTCTCTCTCTTTCATCTTGAATATCATAGAAAACTTTATCAAATCCCGGGATACACACACACACACATTAGACATCAACACACACACACACACATTCACACACACAGCACACCTGCTCGCACACACACACACACACCACACACCACACACACTACGACATCACACACACATCATAACCCACACACACCCCACACACACGGCCAACACACACACACACAATGGCCACACACACACACACACGGTACTCACACACACAGTGGGGTTTGTCCGCACATCAGCACACGCCGTCGCGACACATACAGATCACACACACACCACATCAGCACACACATCAGCACACACACTACATGCACACAACGACAAGCACACACATCGATTTGCTTGTGTGTCTGATTACTCCGTCTTACTACTCACGCTGGAGCGTTAGGATGAATTGCTTATCACGCGGGCATGAAAGAATGTACAGTGAAATTATGAAACGCGCTATAGATAGAGGTAACTGCAAATAACGCACACACAATGCACAATCACACTAACTAACACATGTATCTACACACACATCACACACCACACACACACACACATCACATCAGCAGTGTGATTCGCCACACACACAACACACACACACACACATTCAACAACAGGACACACACACATGCGCTACAAGAAACCTCATCCTATTTTTAATCGGCGATTAATAAACCACTGTTTCTGAATGGCTGGTAATTTATATCCGCCTTAAATTCCATTTAATATATCGCGATTAAAAACTCACTGTTCCG